CCTCCTCCTCCTCCTCCTCCTCCTCCTTTTCCTCCTCTTTCTCCTCCTCCTCCTCCTCCTCATCCTCCCCTCCTCTTCCTCCTCCTCGTGGCGCGCGCTCGCCGGCGCACGAGCTGCAGCGCGGGAAAGAAGAAGTGCCGCGCCGGCGAGTGGGGAGCGAGGAGCGAGCGAGGGACGAGAGGATGGGAGGGAGAGGCACGTTTGCACTCACGACCGCCCTCCGTTCCTGCAGTTGTGTTCGGGAGCTCAAGCGTTAGGCCCACGGCGATGGAAGAAGCCTCAAGCGGACCGCCTGGACCGCCCTACAAACATGTCGGGCGATGAGTCGGGGGGGACCCACTCATGAGAGAAAGGGGTGCAGGAGGGAGCAGCAGGAGGGGGATGATCACGAGCAGCAGGAGAAGGTAGCAGAGCTGCAGCGCGGGAGAAGAAGTGCCGCGCCGGCGAGGAGCGAGGAGCGAGCGAGGGACGAGAGGATGGGAGGGAGAGGCACGTTTGCACTCACGACCGCCCTCCGTTCCTGCAGTTGTGTTCGGGAGCTCAAGCGTTAGGCCCACGGCGATGGAAGAAGCCTCAAGCGGACCGCCTGGACCGCCCTACAAACATGTCGGGCGATGAGTCGGGGGGGACCCACTCATGAGAGAAAGGGGTGCAGGAGGGAGCAGCAGGAGGGGGATGATCACGAGCAGCAGGAGAAGGTAGCAGGACGAGGTAGGAGGAGGATTCTATGAGGGGCAGGGAGAGAGCAGGAGGCGCTGGAGGAGGACAGGGGGCGGAGGCGAGGATATGATACATGTACATATAAGTGTGTGTATATATACATATAAGATCAGCTTGTGATTCACAAATGCGTGAGGGGCGCGTGTTTAAACAAATAATTCCCCTGCTCGGGCGAATCGCGAGATGGCGCCGCCAGATTGAAAATCAATGGGGCGGCGCCGGTGATTAGCACCGACGCCCGGCCGCCAAAGAGGGGCAAAGAGGGGGGTGTTTGGAGGCAAGGGCGAGCCAGGGCGTCCCTCTTTCTGTCGAACCGATGCGGGCCTGCGGGCAAGGCGGGCTGGACGAAAGTGGGGCGCAGCAAAGGGGGGATTCGCAAAGCAGCTAACGTCGCCGATTTTCCAAGCGCCTCAAGGCGCCGAAAGCGGCCATGCGTCGAGGACTGGCCCTTCGGCGGGGCGACCGAAACCAGCTGCGCGCAGCAGGCCTTGCAAACCCCCCTTTCCTCCTCCTCCTCCTCCTCCTCCTTCTCCTCCTCCTCCTCCTACTCCTCCTCCTCCTCCTGCTCCTGCTCCTGCTCCTCCTCCTCCTCCCTCTCCTCCTCCTCTCTTCATCGTCCTCCTCCTTCTTATCCGTCTCCCCCCCCCCCCTCCTCTCTCCTCCTTCCCCCTGGCGCGCGTGATTTAAACAAGTATCGCGCCTTGCGGGGTCTATTCGTCAGCCCCGGGCGGGGGGCCTTTTGTTAATCACAGGCTGGCATTACATATACTACATGACGAGGGACAAGAAGCGACGCCAAAGTACCGCAACTAGAAATCGCGCGCTGCAGCGGTCAAACACCACGTGCAGCAGGCATGCAGAACATCAGCTCAGACGTCGAACGTCTGCCGGCAGGCGCTGCTGGGGGTCGCCGCCTCGCCGTGGTCGTCCTCGCCGAGGAGCCCCCCGATGAGGCAGCCAGCCTGCCGCAGGTTGCGGGCGAAGAAGTTCAGGTACGCGGTGCCGTCGCTGGTGCGGCCATGGACCACCTTCAGGGACACTCGCCCGAAGGACATCCACGCCGTGCCCGTGTGGGGCTTCGCGGTGCCCGCGCTGAACGTGACACCGGGGCCCCTGCCCAGGCGGTGCTCGTGGACCAGGGACTCGGCCCACTTCCCCGTGATGTTGATGTGCATGAAGTACGTCTCCGCGCAGGCGCCCCCCACCTGCTGGGCGTCAGCTTCCACGTGGAGGAGCACCTGCGACTGGCGCGCCCCGAAGGGCACGTGGAGCAGGACGTGAGCGCCAGGCTTCATGACATCGAAGCGCTGCCCTTGGATCCGCCGTCTCCGCTTGTAGGGGCTCAGAAAGAGTGCTGCTCCCCTTTCACCCGGAATCTGAAATCCCGTTGGAGGGGTGTAGCGGGGGGCGGGCTCTTTACAAAAGGCCCCGCCCAGCCTCCGCCCAAAATTGACCGCCAGGGACTGGATGTTCCCAATTGTTTTACAAACGCCAGCGCAGCCACATGCAGCTGACACTGGATGTTCTCAAAGCTGCCCCCGACGATCCCCAGAACACCCCAAGAGATCTCGAAAACGGACCGCGACGGCCTCCATGCTGGCCCTCGCCCGGCCTCGAAGACCCCGAGAGGAGCTCCAAGGAGACTGTTTGCCTTACCGTGCCCGGGTCGCGGCCATTACCCGTGAGGGGGCATGTCCCTCTACAGGGGGGGAATTCGAAAATAGTGAAAACATTGTCAGGGGACGATTTGTTTATATACTTGCTAGTATGATTTGAATATTTTGGTAGTGTGTTTTGTTTTCCTCCAAAACCTGGCTGTAGGGGGACATGCCCGACCTAAGGATGGGGCCCGGGTAACGGTGACGCTTGGGCGGGGTGGCGCGCGCGGGCGCGCTGCGATCGCATTGATATAGTGCGTGGGGGGCCCAAGCCACCCCCCACGTGCGCTCGGTACCGTTACCAGTTGGGGGGGGAGGGAGGGCCTGGCCAGGGTGATGAACGATCGCTGCACGCCAGAGGACAGAAGAGACGATCTCGAGACGGCCTCACAGAGCGTCGCCCAAGGCCACAGCCCTCGACGTGTCGACGTGCGCGCGCGAGCGTGAGCCCTCGAAGCTCTGGCGGTGTCCGAAGGGGGAGCACGAGGGCCGGATCTGGCCAGGATCGGCGCGCTGCCCTGCCAGCGCCGACCACAAGGAGCCCCCCGTGCGAGCACAGCCGAGAAGCTCGGCGCCCAGGTGCCTATGATGCTCCGTGCCGACCTCCGCTGCCTCCGAAGAGGGCCCACGAGGCCCCAAGAGGCCTTCGGACGGCCCAGAAGCCCCCAAGCCAGCGAGGCCCCAAGAAGCCCCAAGCCAGCCCTTCAGACGGCCCACGAGGCCCCAAGAAGCCCCTAGCCAGCCCTTCCTCCAGACTCCAGAGGCTCCCTACAGGCGGCTCCAGTCTGCCACGAGGCGGCCCGAGGACCGCCACTCGACGCCTCGAGGCGACCCGAGGGCCCTCGCATCTGGCCCTGGACCCATCCAGAGGGGGGCCAACACGAAGCAGAGCTGCCCCACTCGGGGCCCAGCAAAGATCCTCCCCCTCCTCCTCCTCCTCCTCCTCATCCTCCTCCTCCTCCTGCTGCTCCTGCTCCTCATCCTGCTGCTCCCCCTCCTCCCTCCTCCCCTCCTCCTCCTCCTCCTCCTCCTCCTCCTCTCCTGCTCCTCATCCTGCTGCTCCTCCTCCTCCTCCCCCCTCCTCCTCCTCCTCCTCCTGCTCCTCCCCTCCTCCTCCTCCTCCTCCTCCTCCTCCTCCTCCTCATCCTCCTCCTCCCCCCCGGTCATCTGGCCATGGTCTTAACGAGCGCACGGGCGCGTAAACCTGAACCGCGCAGACAAGTCCGCCCTGCATGCCGTGGAATGGCGGTGGCGCGATGGCGACGACCGCGACGCCAACGGCGACGGCGATGACCGCGGTGATGACGCCAGTGCTGATGGCGATGGCAGTGGAGATGGGGAAGATACGTTGTCGAGGACGAGGGTTGACATCAAATTCGGGAACCCCTTTAACAGGGCTTCGGCCCTTTTCCACGTGGCCCGCTGCGCTCCCGACCCTTGGCGGGGCCTGCAGGACGGCTCCGAGACGGCGTCCAAGACCAGCTCGAACGTCAGGTCGCTCTCAACACGCGTTCAGGGCCGATTGCCGCTGCATTTTGGCCCCTCTGGGGCCCTGTTTACCGAGAAGCTGGAAACTTCAAAACATGGACGAACACTTGGGGTTGCAATGATTCGAAGCCTGGCTGGGGGTCGCCAAGACACAAATTACAGCGCTGTTTTCAGCATCGTCTGTTTAGATATCGCCGTTTTGGACACGCTGTGAGACCAACTCCTCAATGACCCTACACCCGAAAATGGATCGCTCCGGGCCAGGAAGGCGCAGCTAAAACCAGGATGCTCGCTCTTGGGCGGTCTAGGGGCCATCCTGGGCCGCCTCAAACTCATCCTGGGCCCTTTCTCGGCCCATCTCGGGGCGCCGTTCGAGCAGTATTGAGACAAACTTGGGTCGTCTGGCTTGTATTATGGCTCGTTCTGTCCTCACATGGGCAGGGAGCAAATTCCAGAGAGCCATCGTCCCTGCCACGGGCCCACGGAATATCAGATGATGATCAAGTTAGTTATCAGTGAACACACGGATGCACCTTAGTCTAAGGGAGAAGTACAACATCAACCTGCGGGATCGTCTTTGACTCTTTTGTGCATGGTCGTCTCGTCCGAGGGCCGCCTCCGGCTCTCCTGGCAAGAATTAGAAGAATGGGCGGGCGGTGAAAGCGAAGCAACTTGAATGTTGACCAGGTGCGGGTCACCAGATGCACTCACCCGGGTGGTTGGTGACAGTGTCGGCGTCGCCGTGGGCGGCTCTGTCGGCGCCGCAGTCGGAGCAGCCGTCGGGAAACTGGTCGGTGCCTTCGTCGGTGCCGCAGTCGGCGCAACTGTCGGCAACACTGTCGAGGATTTTGTTGGTGCCACGGTCGGCGCGGCTGTCGGCGAAAATGTCGGCGACCCCGTCGGTGCCGCAGTCGGTGCAACTGTCGGTACCGCCGTCGGTGCCTCCGTTGGTGCCGCAGTCGGCGCACCTGTGGGGAAAGCGGTCGGTGCCACCGTTGGTGCCGCGGTCGGCGCTGCTGTCGGAGGTGCAGTTGGCAAATCTGTCGGCGCCGCCGTCGGTGCCGCAGTCGGTGCCACGGACGGCGCGACTGTCGGAGCCGCAGTCGGTGCACCTGTCGGTGAAGTGGTCGGCGCCTTCGTTGGTGCCAAAATCGGCACACCTGTTGGTGCCGCAGTCGGCGCGGCTGTCGGCGCAACAATCGGCGAGGCTGTCGGCACGGCTGTCGGAGCCGAAGAAGGCGAGGCTGTCGGGAGACCCGTCGGCGCAACTGTCGGGGATTCGGTCGGTGCCATCGTCGATCCCGCAGTTGGCGCAGCTGTCGGCGCACCTGTCGGCGACGCTGTCGGCGAGGCTGTCGGTGCACCAGTCGGCGCACCCGTCGGGGAAGCGGTGAGTGCTTTCGTTGGCGCTGCAATCGGCGCACCTGTCGGTACCGCAGTCGGCGTGGCTGTCGGTGCCGCAGTCGGGGATCCAGTCGGGGAAGCGGTCGGTGCCATCGTTGGTGCCGCACTTGGCGACCCCGTCGGTTCGACTGTCAGCGTGGCTGTCGGTACCGGAGTCGGCGAAGCTGTTGGGGAACTGGCCGGATTCGTAGTTGGTGCCTCAGTCGGCGCAGCTGTCGGCGCAGCAGTTGGCGCAAGTGTGGGTACCGCCGTCGGTGCCGCAGTCGGCGCACCAGTCGGTTCGGCTGCCGGTGCCGCAGTCGGCGCACCTGTGGGGAAAGCAGTCGGCGCCACCGTTGGTGCCGCGGTCGGCGCAGCTGTCGGCGCAGCACTCGGAGCTCCTGTCGGTTCGGCTGTCGGTGCCGCAGTCGGTGAACTTGTCGGTGCTCCTGTCGGTGCCTTCGTTGGTGCCGCAGTCGGCGCACCTGTGGGGAGAGCGGTCGGTGCCACCGTTGGTGCCGCGGTCGGCGTGGCTGTCGGAGGTGCAGTTGGCACATCTGTCGGCGCCGCCGTCGGTGCCGCAGTCGGTGCCACAGACGGCGCGACTGTCGGCGCAAGTGTCGGCGTGGCTGTCGGTAACGGAGTCGGCGAAGCTGTTGGGGAACTGGTCGGATTCGTTGTTGGTGCCTCAGTTGGCGCAACTGTCGGCGCAGCAGTTGGCCCAACTGTGGGTACCGCCGTCGGTGCCGCAGTCGGCGCACCAGTCGGTTCGGCTGTCGGTGCCGCAGTCGGCGCACCTGTGGGGAAAGCGGTCGGCGCCACCGTTGGTGCCGCGGTCGGCGCAGCTGTCGGCGCAGCACTCGGAGCTTCCGTCGGTTCGGCTGTCGGTGCCGCAGTCGGTGAACTTGTCGGTGCTCCTGTCGGTGCCTTCGTTGGTGCCGCAGTCGGCGCACCTGTGGGTAACGCAGCCGGCGCGGCTGTCGGTGCAGTAGTCGGCGCGGCTGTCGGAACCGCACTGGGCGCAACTGTTGGGGAATGGGTTGGCGCCATCGTTTGCGCCACAGTCGGAGCCGCTGTCGGAGCACCAGTAGGGGCCGTCGTCGGCAGAGCTGTCGGTGCCGCGGTCGGCGCAACTGTTGGAGAGGCGGTCGGTGCCATCGTTGGTGCCGCAGTCGGCGCGTATGTCGGTGCACTCGTCGGCGTAGCCGTTGGGGCGGCTGTTGGTGCGACAGTTGGGGCAGCTGTCGGGGCAGCGGTAGGTGCCGACGTCGGCGCACTCGTCGGGGAGAGAGAGAGGGTTGGCGGGAGCAAATCGGCGAAGGTCGGGGACGCTGTTGGGGCGATGGTGAAGGCCGGCGGTGGCAAGTCGGCGACGGTTGGACGAGCTGTCGGTGCTGCTGTCGGCGCAGCGGTCGGAGCAAGGGTCGGTGCCTGCGTGCAGGTGACGCTGGCCTCGTCGGCGAAGAATGCGGAGGTCCCAGACATGATGAAATTGCGCCCCCACACCTGGACGTACTGTGGGGGCATGTCCGTCAGGATGTTGAACCCGATCGAAAACTCGCTCGTATTGGAGAACTCGACCATGAAGCAACGCTTCGCCTGGTCCACGGTGACGGCTGATTCATCTGGACAAGTGACGTTGGTCAGCAAATTTGGGTCAGAAGGGTTGTCGCAACCGTGGCCGAACATCCGCGACACCGTCTTGACTCCGAACTTCCCGCCGGAACTGGAGACGTACTTCTTGGAAGTCCTGCCGGGGATCGCCGTTTTGATCGACGCCGTCACGTAATTCAATGGGGTCGGGCTGCTGCTCGACATGGTGTCGTACTCATACAACTCCAAATCGAAATCGATGTCGCCGTCGACCGTGTAGACAGCGCTGACGCCGTCGAGAAGCAAGACCTCGTTTTCCCCGTCCTTGTAGTGGTCAATGTCACAGAACGTCAGCTTTGGCAGAACTGGCGTGATAGGGCACCAGGTGTGGTTTCTCACGAACCCCCCCCTCAGCGAGACAAACTCTCCGATGAGGAGATTCACTGTCGCCTGCGCCCCGACAATGATGTTCCAATTCGTGTTTCTGGGAACATACTTACTCGTATTTACGAAGACCACGTCGATCAGGATCCCATTTGAAAGCTGTCCGACTCCATAGTATCTGAGCTCCTTGGGCCTGTCGAACTGCGGTCCCAATCCGCCAAGATTAGAATGGGATGACCTCCCTTGACCATCGGTGTTCGTGCCAAACTGGATCCAGTCCTCACAGTGTCCTTGAATTGGTAGCGGTGCAGTCTCGGGGCACTCCTCTGGACACGCGCAACACATTGTACTTGATGAAAAATCGTCATCGTCATAATAAGGATCGAAGCAAATACCTGAAAATGGTTCTTCGACGTCGTGAGTGTAGACTTCGCAAGAGTGGCCAAATCTGTTGGTAGCTCCGTTTGCAGTATCTACACACGCTTCTGGCGCTAGCGTTGCAAATGCTTGCTTTCGCTCAGGCGCCCGCGTTGATGCCCGATGCTCCTCCTGTGGAGGTTTGGTGACTTCCTGCACCTGATCGTGCGACACGCCGAAAAAGGCCTGAAGCATGAAAACGTCTACGCCTCCGACGCCTTCTGGCGCCTGCGATTCGCGCGTGCCATCGACCACCAGTGCACCTGTTTGGCGCCGCGCACAAGGGGGGAGGGGAAGAGGGGGGAAGGCTTCTTAGCAAGAGGCTGCTTGTCAGAAGGCGCGGGCCTTACCTCTCCAGACAAGGCCCGCGCCTTCGAAGGAGCACGGGTGCCTCGAAGAAGCCTTCCGGCCTCCCCCTGGCCCCCTCTGCGCGCTGCCGACCTGTGGCAGACGTGGCCGCACTGTCCGCCGGCCTCCGCTCCAGGGGGGCGACAGGGCGCGTGACGGGCCGGCCAGGCGGCCCCCTCTCGCTGCTGCACCCGATCCGGGGTCCATCCAGACCCGGGTCAGTCGGGCTCTTTGCAGGATCCTGCAAGATCCTGCGGGATCCTGCAGGATCCTGCGCCCAAGCCTGGGCCAGTGCACCCCCCCAGGATCCTGCAGGATCTGGCGCCCTGGCCGCCCCCCGTCTGCACTGACCCCCGTCCCTCGAGCCCCGATGCTCCCTCTTCCGTGGCTCTCTGGGCCGGCAACAGCCTTCTCGGCTGCATGGGCCACAGAACGGCCGCGCCTATTATCTGCCTCGCGCGGCAGAGCACGGGAGAAGGGCACGAAGTGGAGAAGCGCATTCCTGCGACCTGGTATCAGAACCGGCCAGCTCCATAGAACGTATGATTTGAGCCTGTGTGTGATTCCTCGGCCCAAACGGCCTGAGCCAAAATGGTAGGAGGGAGAAGACCATGATGCTTCGGCGCGAATTTTCCGACGGTTTGCCAAGAGCGCCAGCAGTGAGGAGGAGCCGCAACAGTAGTAGCAAGGAAACGGTGAAGGGCGAAGGAGGCCAGGCCAGCCCCCATAAAACCTCCGTCCTCTCGGCCTCCCTATGCCCTCCTGCCCTGCACGACCCTCCCCCTTCCCCTCCCCTCCTTACCCTCTATCAGCCGCCTTCCACAATCTGGATGGCACGCATTCGTTAACTTTTTGTCGAACCGGCTCCTGACCGACGACATGGCCCACAGAAGACCCAGTTGGAGCATTAGGACCACCATGTTTGAAGTTGTATTGGGGCTCCATTTGAGCGACGATCGCGAAAACGGGCTTTACGCGAGATGACGTAGCGAATTGACGCCGCAGCTTACGCGGGCCGCCAACGCGGCACGCTACATTGTAGACGAGGGCGCTCACGCGCGACCACCTTACGCCGGCAGCTTACGCGCCACTGTCGGCGCAGACGACCCCGTTCTCCTCTGTCGCCCCCTCGCGGCAGGAAGGGCCCGACCGAGACGATGCAATCACCGTGGAAGCGTCTGCTTGCATTCCCACTGCCCTGCCAAGGCCTGGGCTTGGGGCTGATACAGACCACCCCATGTCCGGGGGCGCGCAGACATGGATTAGCGATCCGTGGACTTGGCGCGCGGCCGCCAAAGTCCATGGATCGGGGGGGGGGCCCAGACTGTGGCAGGTGCCGCCCCCTTCGGCGGCGGAAGCCCGCGATTTCCCATGGCAACGGGACCCGCCGCTGATCCACGCCCCCTTGATTCGGCTACGCGCAAGCGTGACCCCTGGGCCGCGGGGAAACCAGACCTGGGCGCGCGAGCCGCTGCTGCCGCTTCGTTTTCGGCCATCTGGGGACCCATCCGTGCCCGCACCAAGAAGGTCACTCCGGCGAAAGGTCACTCTTACGTCTGGTCGATTGATGCACCTTTGCGATCGCCTGACACGTGCAGTCCGCCAGGGCTGGCCTGCAGCAGCTCCCCCCAGGGGCTGGCCCGAGGCGGCAGAGAGAGCGCCGCTGCGAGACGCCTCCGACGGCGCCCAAGGGGGGATGCGCTCCGCTGGCACATGGCGAGAGGCCGCCCTCGAGGACTGCGGAGGGCGTCCCCGACGCTGAGCTCCGACGCTGCCAAAAATTTGCCACATCGCAAAAAAATGACGAACCAACAACACACACCCATACCCATAGGGGGATCGGAGAGGGCTATGGGTACGTGTTGTCGGATGGGGGTCCCCGCTCGAACGGGAGCGTTCCCCAGGGTGGACAACCCGCACCCATAGCCATGGCCAGTCCTCCTCCCAACGACCTCCCTATGGGTATGGGTGTGTGTTGTTCGTTCGTCACGAGCCCCATCATTCTGCAGCATGTTCCGGGCCTGGTCCATCCGTGAGGGTCCCGGGGCCCGCAAGGGAGCGAAGAAACGCCTGGCTCCAGCAGGAACTGGATCGCCGGGATCTCCGGACGGGTCGAGGCTTTCTCTATGAGCTTCCCGAGGCGCCCCCTGAGATTCTGCAGGTCGCCTATTGCAGCCACGGGGGATTGGGCCTCTGGGCGGGGCCCTCTGGGCGAGGGTGCGCTGTTAGACTAGATTTAGGTCGGGCATGTCCTCCTCCAGGCGGGTTTTAGATGAGAAACTGAAAATAAGCCTGGCGAAAGGCACAACCATATGAGGCTGCGAATGCCACATTGTGGGTGACGCTTTCGGTGGAGCTCCCTATGTTGCCACGAAACGTGCGAGAGGTGCGCCGAAGTCGGTGGCGCGGACGCATGTGGACACCGCCACTGGGGCCTTCGGTGGAGCTCCCTATGGGGCCACGAAGCGCTGTCCTGGGTGGAGGAGACGCGTGCGAACTGCGCCATCGTGATCTTCGTTGGAGCTCTTTATGGGGCCACGAAACGCTGTCATGAGAAGAGAAAAGTATGCGAACTGCGCCACTGCCACCTTCGGTGGGGCTCCCTGATGGGGCCACGAAACACACTCCTGGGTGGGGGAGACGCATGCGGCCTGTGCCACTGGAGCCTTCGGTGGGGCTCCCTATGGGGCCACGAAGCACTGTCAAAGGTGTCACTGCCGCCTTCGGTGGGGCTCCCTGATGGACCACGAAAAGCTATCCTGGGCGGGGGAGAAGCATGCGATGACGCATGCGGCCTGTGCCATTGGAGTCTTCGGTGGAGCTCTCTATGGGCCACGAAGCGCTGTCCTGGGTGGCGTTGACGCATGCGGCCTGTGCCACTGGAGCATTCGGTGGAGCTCCCCATGGGGCCACGAAGCTTTGTCCTGGGTGGCGTTGACGCATGCGGCCTGTGCCACTGGAGCCTTGAGTTGAGCTTCCTATGAGGCCACGAAACACTGTCCTGGGTGGCGTTGACGCATGCGGCCTGTTCCAGTGGAACCATCCACGAAACGCTGTCCCGGGTGGCGTTGACGCATGCGGCCTGTGCCACTGGAACCTTCGGTGGAGCTCCCTATGGGGCCACGAAGTGATGTCCTTGGTGGCGTTGACGCATGCGGCCTGTGCCACTGGAACCTTCGGTGGAGCTCCCTATGGGGCCACGAAGCGTTGTCCTGGGTGGCGTTGACGCATGCGGCCTGTGCCTCTGGAGCCTTCGGTGGAATTCCCTATGGGGCCACGAAGCGCTGTCCTGGGCGGCGTTGACGCATGCGGCCTGCGCCACTGGAGCCTTCGGTGGATCTCCCTATGGGGCCACGAGACGCTGCCCAGGGCGGCGGTGACGCATGGGGCCTGTGCCACTGGAGCCTCTGGTGGAGCTCCCTATGCGGCCACGAAACGCTGTCCTGGGTCGCGTTGACGCATGCGGCCTGTGCCACTGGAGCCTTCGGTGGAGCTCCCTGTGGGGCCCCGAAACGCTGTCCTCGGTGGCGTTGACGCATGCGGCCTGTGCCACTGGAGCCTTCGGTGGAGCTCCATGTGGGGCCCCGGAACGCTGTCCGCTGTCCTGGGCGACGTTGACACATGCGGCCTGTGCCACTGGAGCCTTCGGTGGAGCTCCCTACGGGGCCACGAAACGCCGTCCTGGGTGGCGTTGGCGCATGCGGCCTGTGCCACTGGAGCCTTCGGTGGAGCTCCCTACAAGGCCACGAATCGCTATCCTGGGTGGCATTGACGCAGGCGGCCTGTGCCACTGGACCCTTCGATGGAGCTCCCTATGGGGCCACGAAGCGCTGTCCTGGGTGGCATTGGCGCATGCGGCCTGTGCCACTGGAGCCTTCGGTGGAGCTTCCTGTGGGGCCACGAAACGCTGTCCTGGGTGGCGTTGACGCATGCGGTCTGTGCCACTGGAGCCTTCGGTGGAGCTTCCTGTGGGGCCACGAATCGCTGTCCTGGGTGGCGATGACGCATGCGGCCTGTGCCACTGGAGCCTTCGGTGAACGCTGTCCGCTGTCCTGGGCGACGTTGACGCATGCGGCCTGTGCCACTGGAGCCGTCGGTGGAGCTCCCTACGGGGCCACGAATCGCTGTCCTGGGCCTCTGGTGGAGCTCTCTATGCGGCCACGAAACGCTGTCCTGGGTGGCGTTGACGCATGCGGCCTGTGCCACTGGAACCTTCGGTGGAGCTCCCGATGGGGCCACGAAGCGCTGTCCTTGCGCCATGGTGTTCGCCGGAAGGAGCAACTTGCGCTACACACCTCCCCGCACAAGAAAACGAGCGATTCCATTGTATGCCCATGACAAATGGTTCGAACCCCCTCTCAATGTCGCCCCCTTTTGATGACGAGTCAGACTGAAACGCGTTCGCAGCAGGGGCGAATCAATCCTGCGCTGCCCAGCACTGGCGAGGGGGGTCACATCAACACGGACGCCGCGGCCAATGCCATCAAATCCCCGGCGCGCATATGTGTAGGCAAAGCACGCAGTCAGCTTTGATGTCAATCTTGTCGAGGGCCGCTCGTTCCGATCATGCTGTCTGCGCGATGTGCCCGGCTCCTAGGAGCCCAGCTCCGCGACGCGGGAGCACGCCTTGCCTCCATTGCCTATCATATGTGTATGAGGGCCGTCGGGAATGCGTCCTCGGATCAGCGACAGCAGGCACACACGAGCAGAAGTGCTGAGATAGCAGCTGCCCGAATCATCTGGGACTGGCTTAACTCGGTAACGGATTTCTGGGTTGTCGATTTGCACGCTGATTCAACCGTGCACGCGTGACTCTTGATACCGGAATCAATCCCTGGATTCCAATCTTCCAATGACGACTGGCTCTGCTACCTCGCTACCGGCTTTGGGCGGTCGCGGATGATCTGGGTGCAGAGGACCCGGGCTCGGTGCACCAGAGCTCTGCGGACCCCGTCGGGGAGACCACAGCTGTCGAGCGGCGGCCGTGGGCTGGCCTGTCCCTTCCCGCGGCGTGCCTGCCGCAGAGCCCCCCCCCCCCACGAGCGTGCTCGCGCCGAGCCGGCCTGCCCAGGGCAGCAGAGCCAGGGCAGTCTGCAAGAAGCGCATCCGCAAGGGCCGTCGGGCCTTCACAAACTCCCCCTGGGAGCGGCCACCCTGTCCGATGCACTCCGGATGCCCCTGCAGCTGCTCGTGGAAGGTCTTGCTCCACGGGCCGCCGTGGGCAGTCAAGGAGGGCCGTCGGGACTCCACAAGCTCCCCCTGGGAGCGGCCACCCTGTCCGATGCACTCCGGATGCCCCCGCAACTGCTCGTGGAAGGTCTCTTGCTCCATGGGCCGCCGTGGGCCGTCAAAGAGGACCGTCGGGACTTCACAAACTCCCCCTGGGAGCGGCCACCTTGTCCGACACACTCCGGATTCCCCTGCAACTGCTCGTGGAAGGTCTTGCGCCATGGGCCGCCGTGGGCCGTCAGAGACCCCGTCGCCGACCAATGGTCGACCCGCAAGTGGGTGAACGGGGGCGGGCGCCGCCGCCCGTCGAAACCACGGGAGGACATCGGACCAGGCTGCATCCCGAGCGGCG